GTTGACCATTCTCGTGGTATTTTAAACCTTATTTTTAAACTTATGCAGACCATGTTGTACAGGTCAAATACATATATATCTAATATCGATAGATAACCAATAATCTAAACAAGCTATTTCAAACTTTAACATACCTCTTCAACAAGTTTTTCGTTGATTTCTACAGGATTTTCTACCATTTTATCGGAGATTTATGAGAGATTTATACTTTTTAAAAGTTTTATTAACTTTTATTAACGCGTTCTTTAAAAAAAATAATAAAAAAAAAAAATAAAAATTTTTTTATCGGTTTTAGTGTTCTTTTTAATTGGTGATACAATAGATCATTTGGTGTACTGTAGTACCATATGAAATTTCGTGTAATGTACTGTTGTACGAATTTCTGAAATGTCATTCGTACAGTACAGTTTCTCTTTATACCTAAATTTTTAGGTTATAAAAAACGAGGTAATACCTCATCAAACTACTGGATTTACTAACTGAGCTGTTGCATTGTAGACTTCGACGTCGTTGTTCACCCGAAACGGAAGCCAAATAAGTGGACTGCAAATATCGAACATGCGACTCTCGAAGGCCTCAAGAATATATACGTAAGATGTATCAACCACCCGCACTTGAAAATGATGGGGCGGAACTCAACTTCATGAATGATGGAGACAAATATTTACCTCGGAACGATCAAGACCTTCGTGAAATCCTCCGCATATTCGTGTCAAATAAAAATCTTGCTTTAGCGCCTACGGCCAAGTTTACTGTATTCATCGAGACGCCATCAAAACCATTCAACTCCTGGACCTTCCCTAAAGTGTGTGAGCTCTATGAGCTTAGCGATGACCCGAATCCTAGTATTGATGTCTATTCCGTTTTTCAATGCGGATGTGCTAACACTAAGGAGGAAAAGTATAAAGAAGCGTTGCGTAAATTTTTTGATGAATTGGAAACTCGTGTCACGACAACCCCATTGACGTGTCCTATGAGGCCACAAAAAGCATCTATTCCTATTCCTTTCTCGCCTCAGCAACTTACCCATTTAAAAGCCAAATAAAAATAGTACCCGAAAAGTTGGTCGAAGGTAAAAACGGGCGTGGAAATCTTGACTACGGTATTGAATCACGTACAACAGGGAGGACAATCGGCTTAATCGAGGTCAAAAAAGATGACTTTAAGCAGGGCTTTGCTCAAGCTACTGTACAGATGGAATCTTCTCTTTCTCGCAAGCGCAAAGCAAATGAGATAGACGATGAGTACGATATGGATAAAATATGGGGGATTGTAACAGATGCGGAAAAATGGTATTTTATGGAATATACATTAGAAAATTGAAAGGAAACCAGTGTTTAAGCTGTCGAAGCCTCTACTTGTTGCGTATGAAGATGAGGGTATGAAAGACATGGCGGAAAAAGTCCTTGGTCATATTTTATGGTTACTGGAAGAAGCGCAAAGCCGGTGAAAGCTTTGGAAAAATCGAGGGAAATAAAAGAGTAAGGTCGGGTGATCTCGCGGGAAAAAAGAATTAGGGTTTGGGATATAAATGTAGAAACTTCGTCATGTATCGCGGGCTAAGTCCCGATCTTGTATTATTTTTGCATGTATTAATAAATATTTTCTTGGCAAAAAGTGCGTGAATTTCTTTCACGCTGTCACATGATTTTTATTTTTCATGAAGTAATGTGATTTTATTACTTAAACATAATATAAATATAATAAAATTCATCACTAGAATGGATCGTATTATCGTTATATGTACTACATTAAATGCATTTGAGAATCCACGCCGGATATAGATACTTTTGTGTGTGATATTTTAGCCGGAACTCTTACTATGGAGAAGAGTTTCGATTAAAGTAGAAGATTAAAAGGCATTTGGAAAAGGTAATAATTTTTAAACTCAAATATTTATTCATTTATTATTTTATTTTATTTATTATTTTATCAACCACAACGATAAAACAAACATGTTATTTATTAGATAATTTCTAAAATCTAATTAGAATACATCTCGGTATTCTTTGACTTCGAAACATCCCTTTCTGGTAGCGTCAATTTGGTATACCCTCCCCAATGAAGCGAGGTTTGCTGGATTGTACGTCCTTCTGAGGAATCTAATTAGATCTTCAGCGATCTGTTGCTTATTTCCCGTTTGAGTATCCTTGATGGTGAAAATAGAATCAGACGGAGGGACATTAATAAGTCCAACGTTGGTATGAATGTCTGTCTTGATAGGTTCGAGACCATTAAATCCTTTCACCACTGATCAAAATATGGTTAGAATATGATAAAATAAATTTATATTGTTATTTTCAAACATACAAGTAATTATGGCGTTCTTTTGAATGTTTCGGGCTGTGAGGGCTTGATCATTCCAAACGATTACGATTAAAATGGGGTCTATGTAAAGATCGTCCTCTTCGTCATCCGAAATTCTACTATTTTTTCTACCGGTTTTGTACCACTCGAATATCATTTTTTTTGTAGTTCGATCAAATTGTTCCAATGGTTTTGGAAATTTATTCATGCTAAAGAAAATTAGTACACGTATAAATGAACATAATATATCAAAGGATGTTACCTAATAAATATCCAGTACACCAAACAGGTAATAAGAGCGATGGAAATAACAATTAAGTACATAATGATTCGATTTTGTGTATAAATTATACGAATTTTACAGACTTTTATGGAATTTTTTTCTTTTGCAAAAATTATGGAATATCGTGTGATTTTATGAGTATCACATGTTACGAAGAAGCAGGTGATTGAACTAAAGTGTTACTGGAAGAGGCGCAGAAGGCTGGCGAAAGTTTCGCAAAGTGGGGATGAATCGAGGAAAATAAAGAGTAAGGTCAAAAGACAATCTTGCGGGAAAATTGAATTAGAATTTAGGGATGGATAGGTAGTAATTTCATCATGCATTCCTTTCATATATAAAATTATTATTGATTATGTCAGTTAATCCATTACAGAGAACGAACTTATCGCCTCAAATGCTGGAATGATCTTCAGCGTGGAATCCCAATAATGAATGTGAAAGCGAAAACTTCGTCATGTGAGAGATGATCACCTGAAATGCGCAGAAAGATATTCGGTAAAAATTCTTGCCGAACCTTTCCACGCTTGCATATCCATCGAGAAACAAACACAGATTTAACATCATTCCCGCAAAGTAACACGTCATTGAAATTAAGTGACGTTAACATATAATTAGCCGGTAGATCCCATATTTCTATTGGTTGGAAGTGAGAAGAATCTTCACGGTTATCATATGACATAACATGTATCATGAGCTACAGTAAAACTCACGCACATGTATTTTTTACACATATTTCTCAATGATATAATAATAGCCGATCTCAAATAAAAAAAGAGAAAATTAATTTTTGCTAATCGCTTATTTAATACATCATAATTCAATCTTATCTGTAGATCCTGCTTCTATTGGTTGATAGTAAGAAGAATCTTCACGATTATCATATGATATGGTATGCTAACTTATTTTCTTGCCGGCTTATCAATTCAACCCTTACCATGGCACTGTAATTATAAATAGGCTAACATAAACTCTTTTTTTGCCTTAATGGCGTCCCGGGAATCAATCGCATTGCTTCTAATGAGTTTGGGCCATAGATTGGCCCCTGATATTTTCTCTGAACCCCCCCAGAAAGCTGAACCTTGTTTGGCTTGCAAAAGGGAAATTATAAACTCACATGCGATGTTCCAATGTGGTCATACTTTTCATA